GAGGGGGAGGGGGAGGGGGAGGGAGAGAGAGAGAGAGAGGACATTTTCTCTATCAATATAAGGAAAACAGTTGACCACATCCAAAGGTTATCACAGATGATGTATTTCCCATTCTGCTTCCCATTTCATGCGTAATTACAGTCACAAGTAAAGAGTTAATAAACAGCCACCTATCTTCCCAGCCCCCTTACCTACCAGCATGTGTAGCTGCTTTCTCCAGATGTTCATAGTATACTTTCCAAAACTGCTTATTTTCCATTCCATGAGCATGAGAACTAAAAGGAAAGATCACAGAGAACGGGGCATGGTACAGACTTTGTATGATACCTCATAGGAAAAGGAAAAGGGTAAAAGGGCATGATTAAAATGTCAGATGACCCTTCAGTGTGGGCTGTAAACAACTTTTGCTCTTTCCTGTATTTTTCAAAATATCCGCAATGTACTAATTATTCTTATAGTCATAAAAGACTGAACAGTATTTTAAACAATAGAAGTAGATTCCTATAAGACTACTTTTTGTTTTTTTGGTTCCGGGGATTGAACTCAGGATCTTGTGCTTGCAAGACAGGCATGGCGCCACTGAGCTAAATCCCTGGCCCCCAAGAAGACTACTTAAAAGTACGACAACAGGGCTGGGATATAGCACACAAAGCATGGCCCATTAAGGGAAGACCTCTTTTGGAGAGAAATGTCAATGTGCTCAAAGGTAACTTAAAAAGACAAAGCAGACCTTCACTGAGTACTTGAAAAATATATTCAGATCTTAATTAGAGACATGAGATGAATCACATGAAGTGTTCACACAGTTTGGATCTCAGCAACAATATTCTATTTTTTATAGTCTTTGTCATTAATTTTCTAAGAATCTGTATAAACTTTACACAAGCGAGGAACTAAGTATGAGCAATTTCCACTGAAAGATGCCCAGCAGGAGCCAGCTCAGGTCAGTGGAGCACTGAGGGCCCCCAGTGCGGGAGAAGCAACATTCCTGCCCGGGGCTGCTGGTAACACACGTCGGTCTCCTGACAAAAAAGTGACAAAACTGAGGTCAGAAGGCCCTTGTTTTCAGCACAGTTTCAAAGGGCAGTAAAAGGCAGACAAACTGGTTCAAATTTGGAAAGGGATTTATTTACTCTTCTGTCAAGAACTAAGAGCTGGGACTTTGAAAGGCCACAGGGACCTATTTCTAACCTAATGAAGAGCCAGATAGGCCATCTGCAGACAAATTCTGTGAGAGAATAGAGTCCTCCCTTGGCGCCAGGCCCCATAATGTTCTCTGTGACGACTACGTCCTGTCAGAGGGACCCTGACAAATATGAAGGGGCTTTTGTACAGTAGACAGCAAAGGTTTCAAAAAGTCCTTTATCTTTAAAATATGGCTTAATAACTCATTATATGTAAATGAAAGTGTGAAATTATTACAGTATGCATTTTTGCTATAAATAACTTCAATCATGTAGAAACACCATGTATAGGCAGAGTCCTCCAAAGCCATTTCAGTGCACACACAAGCATACACACAATGCTGAACTGCTGGGAAGTGGGCTTCAGAGTCACTGTTTATTCTTCCTTGCCTGAGTCCTGAAAAGGCGCTCAGTCATCAGAACCAGAGCAGGTGCAGCCCTGCCTGCCACTGTGCAGCAAATGTGTGAGGGCTCCCAGCCGCAGCCTACCTTATGAGCTCGATCACCGGGTCCCAGAGCGCGCTGAAGTTGACGTACAGCATGCCCAGCAGGTAACGGAGGGGTACCTGCAAGCATAGGGGACCCCTTTAACAAGTGGGGAACAGCCATGAAGACTGCAGAACGGAAGTGCTGAGATTCAGACACCCTGGCTGGACAGCCCAGGGCTGGGAAAGAAGCCGCACTTTAAGAAAAAAGGCTGCGGAGACCAATCCAAAATTCGGTGTGTAATAATTTTCTTCCTTTTTCGAAAACAGCACCCAAAATTAAACAGAAGAATCACCGTAACAAACAGCACCTGAAGTCATTCCAGATGTTCATTTGACTAAAAATTAAATTCCACTCTAAGAAACACCTGCTCAAACATGCTAGGCAAGTGCCTCACCTGGGAAAAGTCTTCAAAACTATACTTTAAAAAAGGTCAGTTCAGAGGGTCTAAAGTTTTCTTTTTTAATTTCTTATAGTACTAGGGTTCAGACTTCGTGCATGCTAGGCAAGTGCTTTACCTTTGAGCTACATTCTCTGCCCTTTTCATTTTTCTTTGAGACAAAGTCTTGCTAAGTCACCCAGGCTGGCTTTGAACTTGTGATCCTCCTGTCCCCACCTAGGATTTTCATGTTTTAAGTTTGACATACCCATGCCCCCCACCCCCTACTGAGGATCACACTCAGGACCTTGCACTTGCCAGGCAGGTGCGGTGCCACTAAGCTACACCCCCAGGCCCACATACAGTTATACGGAGCAAAACTGAGAGGCACTCATAAAAGTCTGTGTTGCTTTGGAAGAGAAAAAAAAAAATCAGTAACTCCGTAACCAACAGTCATCTTTTCAGTTTGTTCAGGATTGGGATTCCTACTTGTTTCACATAATGGAAACCTGACATACGCAAACCAAGAAAATAATGAGGAAGAAGGCTAAGACTCAACTTTCAAAGTGGTTTTGTTAGGAAACATAGTGCTTTACTCTTGGCTTATTATAGATAGATGAGCTAGGCAGAAATATTATAGGCAGTCAGATAGGGCTGAGTCCTCGGGAGGGCCAGGACAAGGTGAAACACAGCACAGCTGCACATCGGCTGAAAACCAGGCCTCAAGATGGAGACAAGACGACCAGACCCACATACTTCTTCAAAGAACTGGGCTCAGCAAAGTACAGATAGGCATCGACCACCCTGGGGGTGGCCAGAGACCTCTGGACCCGCTGGCCCCTAGGAGAATCCTTGTTCTTTCATCCTTGCTGGCTGTGTGACTCGCTTCCCAACTGGACCACTATTCCCTAAGTGACTGTACTTGTAACCTTATTGGATGTTCATGGCTGTGGCCCACGTTGTACCCTTGTGGGCTTTACCCTATAAAACTTCTCTGTGAAGTAGGGTCCTTGGGCTACCCACTTGGGACCCCTCCTGCCCCT